CTGTCTGTCTGTCTGTCTGTCTCTCACTCTCACTCACACTCACAACCACACACACACACTTTAATCTTTCCACAACGCACATATGCATTCACACCTTGATCAGTACCTACCCCTTCCTCCTTCTCTCATCTCCGTACCCCCCCCCCCTCACTCCCCTCTTCTCCATCCCTCCTCCTTCTCCTTCCCCTTCCCTCGTCTCTACACCCACTACCTTCTCCTCCGTCCTCCCCCCTCCCCTCTCCCCGGCCCCGTATTCCCCTCCCTTCTCTTCCTTCCTCGCTTCCCTTCCCCTTCCCCTTCCCCTTCCCCTAGTCAACATGAGGGCCAGGAACAAAATACTGACACTGGAGCTAACTTTCAAAACCACACAATGAGATTCTGCGGCCGACAAACTCTCCCGCTCCGAAATTACCGGAAAGCACAAGCGAAAATGCCCCGGGATGCCTGACGTATGTGCTGATGGAGAGGGCAATGCCGCCGGGATGAGGGCTCTCTCGCTCTCTCTCCTTCCCCCCCCCCCATCTCCATCTTCATCTCCCTCTCCTTCTCTCTCTCTCGCGCGCGCGCTCTCGCTCTCCTCCCCCTTCCCAATCTCTCTCTCTCTCTCTCTCTCTCTCTCTCTCTCTCTCTCTCTCTCTCTCTCTCTCTCTCTCTCTCTCTCTCTCTCTCTCTCTCTCTCTCTCTTTCTGTTTTTATTTCTCACCTATCCCTCTCCCTCTTTCTCGCGGATCTTTTTGTGTGTCCTTTGTTATACTGAATGTCGAATGTTAACCTTGGTATTTGTGGAAACACATGTTCATTAAAATTGATGGTTCTATTTAACATTTAAATGATATCGCAAATCCAAGAACTGATAGAAAATTCTTGAATATAAAGTATTAAAACACGAGATACCTGCGTTTTGTTAACATACGGACTGACACAGACAGGCATTCTCTCTCTCTCTCTCTCTCTCTCTCTCTCTCTCTCTCTCTCTCTCTCTCTCTCTCTCTCTCTCTCTCTCTCTCTCTCTCTCTTTCTCTTTTTCTTTCTTTCTTTCTCTCTTTCTCTCTCTCTCTCTCTCTCTCTCTCTCTCTCTCTCTCTCTCTCTCTCTCTCTCTCTCTCTCTCTCTCTCTCTCTCTCTCTCTCTCTCTCCCTCCTGCATTATCTCCCTCCGCGTCGTTACATAGACCCAATCGCGCGTGCTTGACAACGACAACCATAAAACAAAACCAAGCAACAACAACAAAAAACGCAAGGGGCCGTTTGAGCTGCGGGCAAACTGCAACTCGGAACTGTTCTGGGCATTAATTAATTAAGCTGAAAAGCCCCGCGGGGATAAACGCACTCAAGCCTATACGGACGCGACTTAGTCTAGGCGAGGCGGTGGCGGGAGCGGCGGCGGCGATCACGGCGAAGGCGAAGGCGAAGACGAAGACGAAGACGAAGACGAAGACGAAGACAATGACGAAGACGACGACGGCGATAGAAGCAACAGAGCTGCGGTAATAAAAAAAAACAACAACGATGTCGACGGCAGTGCACGTAGACATCTAACCGGCGGCAGGAGCTATTCCCGCCGCCGCCGACGTGCCGCGCGAGAAATGTGCAACGCGAAGTGCAATGAGCGAGGACGGCAATTAGCCCGGCGAATCACCCCCCCCCCCCCCCCACCACCACCACGACCTCGACATACGAACGAGCGTTTCCGCTCCCACGGCCGCCGATGCCATTCGCAAACGTCTAATGCGCTCTTCCCCGTTCGTCTTTTTTGTGTGTTAATTAGGGGTATTATCGTTGTTATTATTACGCTTACATTTACTGTTGGTTCAGTTGTGTTCATCTATTCTCGTGAGGCTGGAAGTGTGGGTAGGAGAGAGGGAGAGGAATGGAAGAAGGGAAGACGGAGGGAGAGAAAGGGAGAGAAAGGGAGAGAAAGACAGAGAAAGAGAAAGAGGAAGAGAAAGAGCAAGAGAAAGAGAGAGAGAGACAGAGAGAGAAAAGATAAAAAGAAAGAAAGAAAGCAAGAAAGATAGAAAGGAGGGATGGGATGAAAAAAGAAGAAAACTTCTACAAATACTTTTTTCGACCCTCGTCCCAGCGAAGAATATATATAAAAAAGAATCAACAACAAAAGTCCTAAAAAAAAGAGAGAAAATCACGATACACGTGAACAAAATCGAAAGATTAAACATACGACATTAAAGCGACCGACAAGAGTTCCAATCGAGGTATACGTGAAAAAGAAGAAAAATATAACGTCCGCAAGGGAGATGGGAGAGAGGCACGATCATAAAAGGGACAGGCGAAAAGCGGATAAAGAGAGAAGAACATCTGAAGAACGGAGCCGGACAAGGGCGAAGTCGACACTAACGGCATTACCACCTCCGTATTTACAAAATTATCTTCGATCTCGTTTCCTCCCCCTAGGGTCAGAGCTAGGGGGTTGGGGTAGGGGGGAGTGGTCGGGAGGGGAGGGCTTGTGCCTAAACATAATGTTAACCATTTTAAGAGTCTTTT